ATGAAATGGGGTGCGGTCGGACTCTTGGCTTTCGGATGCGCATTTGTCTATGCAAAAATGTAATTACAAATCTAAAAAGTCTAATGAAAACAAACTTTCCACTTGGCTAACAAAACTGACCCACATTCAGGAGCAGCAGCCAAAAAAAAAGCAAAAAATAAAATAAAAAATGAACAAAAAAAAAAAAAAAAAACGCAAGAGTAAATCGATGCTTGCAACTTTGCTCTGGATGAGCGTAATGCACACAGGCGAAAGACGAACAGGGCGGGGGATGGGAGGGAAAAGCCTTTATCCAGCTGCAGTTAAATTACAAAAATGTAATTACAAAATGGTCTTGGTCCGCACTAACAACACACATAAATCTATTCGGACGGCGCGTGCCGTTTCGAGCRTCCAAGAAAAGCRGCAAAATGGAAGGACTTACCGTAAAGCGTCTGCACCATACCGAGAGCCATCGAATGTCCTTAATCCTTTTGCCCATGGGTAAACGCAGTATGATGTCCGTATTGTTGTGCGCCTGCAGAACGGGCGGATCACTGCGGGCCGCCATGAAAAGAGAAAGAAACAGTAGTTAGTCAATAGAGCAGGGGCTTTGTTCGAAGTGCACCAATAAAGTCGTTCAAAATCCACCTAAGAAGCACTTCGCATATATCCAACCCATCCATTTACGTCCATACATCTGTCCATCTCTATTCAGTGCGAACTGAGCTTACACAGCGCTTATTAAAAGTGCGCAGCAATCAGGACAATGTTCTGCCAGCTTGCCTGTCCGCTTGTCCGCTTGTCCGCTTGTCCGTTTGTCCGGCTGCCCACTGTCACTGAATGCAGTCCTGTGGCCTCAAGGCTGGTCTTTGATCCAATAATGGACAACAGAGCACGCCTCCAATTTGCCCTGTCAATATTGACGAGTGCTTGTAGTTGCAGTGTCATTAAAATTAAAGCAAAACCACCCGGAAAATTCCACAATGTCAACCATGTATATGGGCTGTCTATGGCATTGTAGTAAACCCTATCTTCCCCGCCTCTCTCCCTCTCTCTCTATCGCTCTATACCTCTCTCTCTCTCTCTCTCTCTATCTCTGTCCTTCACGCCATCTTTTGCAGTAATTTGCTACAAGCGAATGCACAGCCAATTAATATATTCAATATCCAAGTGCAAGCATTTCATGTTATCTCTTTCTACTTTGATCAATTGAATCAATAAACGAGAAGATATTACAATTTAAAAATCATTTCATATTACAGTTTTATGCAGAAAAATATATTTTAATATGGAATATGCTCTTAGCAAAAAGGGTATTTTTATACCCATTGCAAAAGGGAGCTCATGAATTCTCAATTTCCTTTCATATTTTATTTTGCATTGAGTATTGAGAAAAACATATACATTTATATATTTTTAAAGATGATAAATACATACACCCTACATTTTCTGACATGTCTTATTTTGTGGCGACTTAAATACCTTTGAGCTGGTTACAGAGTATCATCGCATTGATGCTGTTTTTCTGTTGGTCCTTTTGCTGCATTTGCTGACTATGATGAAGATTTATGGCCAATGCAACGATGCGAGCCATGTCACACTGCTCCCACCCACACCCCAATAATCCTGCATGTTTTGTGTTTGCCTGCGCACAGAGCTCTATAGCTGCTACACATGTACCCGATGTACATATAAACACAACTATGCCCACAAACTGAAGCCAACTTGGAAACTT